TTGCTTGTTGAACGCGCATTTACGCGCAATTATAATCGCAATTTGACAAAATTGAATCTTTTCAAACATCTAATGGTAAAAATCCGTCCGAGTTAGTTAAATAGTCAAAATTGATTTGAATAAAATATGACTACTCGTATATCAGGGCAAATTCCTGAATGTTTCGACTGCCCATTCGAAACATTCAGGGATGGGCAGTCGAGTTTTTGTTCCGACTTTCAAAGAGAACGGAATATTTATGCTTGGTGTGGTTTTTTATTCAGTCAACTTTGGCGACCAAAATCACAAATTAAAAAAAATTCTGCTCCATTGAAAAAATCGACCCCCCCCCCCAAAACCAAGTTAAAAAAATTTTTCACTCGCAATCTTTTCTGCAAAGTTTTGAGAGTTTAAAAAATGGCGTCATTTTTTAGAAAGTCGAAAAGTTGGAGCAATAAATCACAATAGTGAAAAATTGGATCAAGCAACTCAAAAGAATATTTTTGAGCAGTTCTAATAGCGAGTCACAGACTGTATCTTATCAAAGAATTACTATTCAAGACATCCATTTTTGACTGACAGACCCTAAAATGTTTCTAAGGCTGCCTTCGGCTCAAACATAAAAAATAGCCCGTGCCGCATAAATTTTGCTCAAATTAGAGTGTTTATACTGATTTGAGAAAGGTTCAAAAATCAATTTGGCCGACCTACAAAAAGGTTGACAAAATTTCGATTTTTTTTGTTGAATTTCCGTTCCCTCGAAAAAATTCCGCCCCTGGCTACTATCGATCATGTATTAAGATAGTCCAATAATGTACTATTTCACCACATTCTAGGCTAGTTTTTCATTGGGCATAGTTTTTGTTCGAAAATCAAGACCAATATTTTGCGTCTAGAATTTAGATGTGGCAACACTATAGCAGCTGAAATTGGTCAGGTCTGTGGCAGAAATGTTGTTAGAGGTGAAGTCAGAGCTCATCCGCGCACACTTTTGCGGCCGTGGCAGCTAACTGAACAGTCACGATCTGACGATGTCAAAGTTAACAATTTGTCACCATGCCACTCGTCTCAATCTTAACGTGTTTATACTTTATCGGTTGCAGGACATCAAGCCGACGAGACTTCAAATCGAATCGTATAATAAGGGACTTCAAGCCAAACTTTCTCAAAAAGTAATGAAATATGGTTAATTTGAATACTGAAATTTTTGGCTTTTTCATAACACCTAAGCCTCTAAATTTAAAACAGTTAAAACAGTTAAAACAATGTTGAAGGCGTTTTTTATGTTTATAATTTATTCATTTCAAAATCCGGCCGGATGTAAATTACGGATGCTATTCTTAAGAGGTGCATTGCCATGAATAACGCTCATTATAGACTAAATTTGCCAATGTTTTTAAAATAAATTATCATTTTACATATGAAAAACAGTGCTTTGAGGTGCTAGTAAAGCTTAAATTTTGTTTTGAAGTTCTTTCGGCTTGAATTTCCGTCGGCTTGTTGTCCTAGACCCTACTTTTTTGGTTTGCATGTTTGATACCTGATAGTCAAGCTATTGTCGGATGTTTAAAAGTTAGCTATGAACTCAATTGAATCACGTCTCAAGTTTGAATTGGAATAAGTTCAAACAAAACTAATGGAATCAAATATTTTCGAAAAATCGGAATAAGTTCTAACAAAAAACTAAGAAAGCGCAGAGAAAACTATAACAACAAAAAGTCAAACATCAAGAAACGATTATGATGAATCGAAAATCATGGCCTATGAACATGGTCCGAACTCTGATTTTGGGGATCGTGTATTTGTTTTATGTCATACAAGGCGATGAGCAAATCAAAAAGGCATCTTTGGATGGACACAACAAGCACAGGAAAAATGCTGGCCTTGAAATATTTACATGGGATGACAATTTAGGCAAGTTTGAACAACTTCTGATTCACAAAATTTAATTGCAATGATAATTAAGATTTTAAGATTTTAAGATCATTCATCCACGAGGGATGGGACCAACATACGAGCTGTACAGCTCATCACGGCGAACCGCTGTTGTGCCCCTGCTTAAGAACTACATGCAATTTTTTTGGCACAATTTGATAAGAAAAACTGCTAAAAATGAGATTTTGACTGTTTATAAACTAGCAAAACTATTCACATGTTTGCCCTATTTGTCCGAAAGTAACTCAAAATCAAATATTTTGCCAGGTTACGAACGTTCTTAAGAAAGGATGTGTTTGTAACATGGGTGTTGGGTATGGTTCCAATAATGATTCAGTGACTTCACAGCCTATTAACGGACTTTATAATTATTTTTTTTCACACTAACTAAAAAGTTTCTGTGATGAAAATGATAATATCGTTTGTTTTTAACAAAAAACAGTAGCTTAGAACAAACAGAAATAGGGAAACAAGTACAAAAATATAAAATTAGTGTCTACGGATGGTGTCTGGAATATTTGTTATCTGTTCTTCAGAAAATAGCGCCAAAAATTACTCGCAGAAGCTGGGCAATGAAGGACAATGCAAGAAACTCACCCATTCTCAAAATCGTATGTGAAATCAAAAGCTCTTTATTGTACAACCATCATGTGTCACAAGTTATCCAATATTACAGTCTAGAGTTTTAAGCTTAAGAGTTTTTTTTTCTAATTCAGTTTTTTTACTTCAAAAAATTGAAAAGTGCACAAGGTAGGGTAGTTTTTATGAAATTGGGGCTTAAACTTTTTTCAGGGCAACAACCTGCTTAACAAAATCACTGAATTATTTGTGCTGCTGACATGCGCATCGTCTTGAAAATTTAAATTTAACTACTGGTTGATACTTTTGATTGGTAGGGGATAACGTGGGTGAAAACCTGTACATGACAAGCGAGGGTTCCAAAGGAGGTCCAGCTGTGGCAACAATTGGCTGTAATAAATGGTACAAGGAGACTAAGTTCTACTCCTATCCTGGCAACAAAGACTATCAAAAGTGTGACAAGGGCAAAAAATTTTCCAAGTACGGACATCTCACACAGGTATTAAATTAATTTCATGTTGCATTTGAAGAACGATTTTGACAATCCTTTTGTTTTTTAGTATGGCTCAGTCAGTTTCAAATTTTGTGGCCATCAACCGAGAGCAAAGTTTTGAGTGTACAGCAAGGTTGCGACAAAAAACTTGTCCAACAGTGCCGAAATTGAAAACCTTATTCAATAGTGCTAAAAATATTTGCTTACAAATTATTACCAGCACCAGGTCAAACCAAAAGTTTTGCCACATGTTCCTAAATTTTTGCATTTTCTTGGCAAAAGATACGCTATAAAAGTTTTTTTTTGTTTCAAGCTGTTTTTTAAAAGAATTATCATCAGTTTTTCTTTTAAAAAAATGGTGAATAAACTAGCCTGGATAAACCTTAGCTCCAATTGGACTTAAAGCTAAAAAAGCTTTGCAGTTTTTTTCCATTATAAATGAGTAGAACTTGTATAGTATACTAGCTTTACTTGTCACCGCAAACAGTTTCGAAAATTGGCAGTTGCGAAAATTTCAGCTAAAAAATTGGTCTGTTTTTTGCAAAGTTTTGAGGCTTTAATCAGAAGTTATAGCCAGAAACAAAAAAATGTATCAAATTTTTACCATTATAGAGACTGCAGTAATTTCAGAAAAAAGCAGAAACAGATAAAGCAATTATGGCTTTGAACGAATGTATGAATCAAACGATTTGAATGCTGAGCACTATTGGTGGATAAATTTTTGTATTATCTATTATCAGAAAAATCAAGATTTTTTTTTTTCAATTTTTGGCACTGTTGAAAAAATTTGAAGAAATCATAAATGGATCTTAGGTTAAAAAAATGGTTAAAAGTCAGCCAATCATAAACCAAAAAATCAAACAGCTAGTAACTTGTTTCAAACATATCACTGTAAAATAGAAACAAGTCGCGAAATATTTTCCAATATGTAAGTGGATTTCTGTTTAAAATTTGCGGTGAATTCATTGAACAAATACCTTCCCGCTTTGACAAATTTGAATTTTAAATCATTTTAAATCGATTTTTTTTACAAATAATATTCTGCTTACGATTTTTCTATTGTTAACTATTTACGATAATCCATTTAAATACGTAAATCAATTTAGAATGGGTTAAAATGTTTTTTACAATTGAGAAAAATAATGAATTTAAATCGATTCAAGTTAGATTTCGAAATGCAGTGAAAATGATCAAAAACTCAGCAGAACTGATTTACCTTAACTACAGTTTTTGTTACGAAACTTGAGCAAGTCTCCATCAGAGCTAAAGAGAGCAATAGTCAATCGAGGAAAGTTTTTTACCCTAAACTATTACGCTTAAAAGATTGTGCAATAAGTAAAATTGTGCAATATTTTTTCAAATAAGATTTTCAATTTCAACGTTCTATGATCAATTTTGTTTGGCAAATAACATATAATTACTACACTCAAATTAGAATAATCATTTCAGTGCAAAATCATTTAGACATTAGTTATCATCACAGTTTAGTTTCAGGCCAAGTATCAAAAAGAAAAATCAGTCAAAGAGCAAATAAAAAAAAATTATTTCAACTATTTTGTTTTGTTCGATCATCTAGCAATTTGATTATAAACTGGGTAGAATCTGGATAAGATAATTTTACAAAAAAAATTGTTAAAAATCGATTAAAATTTTTTTTTTGAATACTGAAATCCGTAAAAAAAAATGACACCAGTATGAATGACAAAAAAGGATTTAAATTGATGTAGAATCGATAATATTGATTTTTAAGCTACATTTTTGTAAGAAACTAAATCGATTTGGAATCAATTCAAATCAATTTTGTCGGTATCTGCTACATTATTTTTTTCATAAAATCGATTGCAAACCGTTTTTTGTCACTGTGGTTTATAACGTAAATTTTATCAGCATTTTAGTTGTATCGCAGATTCCTGCAACAAGCAAGTGTTGCAAGTTGTTCTGGAATTCCTAAATTATACGCAGGTACCTCAAATGTAAGCGGGTTTCTCACAACTGCTATCTAGAACGTAATGAATACATGTTTTATTACGAACTTGGGAAACAGTTTTGGATTCAGCAAACTTTGTTCCGGATTTCCTAAATTTGGTGTAAGAAATTCTAATTGGTTACTGATTTTTCAAAAATTGGTTAGTTTTTTTATTTGGCCTGCACTGTTTTGAAATTTCTGCTTAGATGATGTGGAAAGATAGTGTGAATCTTGGGTGTGGGGTTTATATCTGCCCAGATAATAACTATGCAATCTATACATGTCACTACTCTCCCGCTGGGAACGTCAAAGGGGGAACCATGTTCAGGATCAACAATTTCAAGGAATTGTGTCAGGCAGAGAAGAACACGTGGACCACGTGCAACAAGTATGACTAAGTTTTTGAAAGTTTTTCCAATTTAAAAAAAAAAATGAAATTTTTTACATCACTAAAGAGGATGATGTATTTGTTTAGCTATATCACCCATATGTTACCAAGTATACAATATCCACCCGTATAAGGATAATTCAACGATTAAGCATATGCATAGATTTGTAACTATTGTGCACATGCATAATGGAACCTGATCTAAACTATATTTTATGATTGGATAAATTAGATATTTTACCACCAGATCATCCAATTCTCCAGATATTCCCCAAATCTCCCAAGAACTCGATAATTTTATCACCCTACAACAACAACTATTACACCCTAACACCCCCACTATAAATCAGATTTCTTCCACAATAGAATCCTCAAACCCACCTACCCCTACACCCTCTTCAGCTTATTCTGCATCATTAGCACAATCATCCATTTCCACCGAATCATCAAAAAGCACTAATAGAGCTTATCGCACTTTTAAAAGAAAATTCCCAAACCATCCATTCCCAACCAAACCAGGAACAGCCCGTGAATACATTAATCATCCACATCACACTAACACGAAAGATTTTCTAGCAATCACCTTACCTTCATTTCCACAATATACTTTAAACACTCCTCATGACACTAACGACACACGTAGCTTTGTAGATGAACATGTTTTAATGCCTACACTTCATTGGACATCATATTATCATTTTACTAATCCCCTTTGCCTACCATTATCTAATACTCATGACGATATAGAAAGAAATCAAGATATGCTATATCGACTCACCACACCACTAACACATAGACAATTTACTTATATAGGATATAAAAAATCACTAAAAACATTCACTGCACCCCGAGCTAACGAATTTACGCTAGAATATTACGATCATAACATCATACGAACTAACCAAGACCAATTTCTAGATGATGATCGCTTCGCTAATCCACAACTAACAGAAAAATTCTTCATCAAAACACCATATGTATTTACACTCAATATATTTGATCGAAAATTTGACCACATCATTTCTGAAGCACTAACCGACATGCAAGCTTACGAAAGTTTTAAAGAAAATTTTCAATTATTTTCACTAACCTTCCATTTCCTTGCACCACATGAACGCGATTTGCACTGCTCACACGACATTATGTTACGCACTAAACAAACCCACACATATACATATTATCGCTTCATACAAAATCATTTGACCTACACACACCATCAAGACAACCACACCACCGTTTTCAGTTTCTTAACTCTAAATACACTTCACCATTTTTTCTTAATTTCACATATTGCATCAAAGATACTAACCTTCACGGCATCCTCCGCAATTATGATCCCATAACCCAAATGTATATATTTTGTCCCATCACGAAGACCTTTAACGCAGAAGAATCCAGACCCTTCCTTATCCCACATGAATTTATCCAACCTATAGAAATCCCAATATTAGAATTCATCCACAACACTAAATACAATCACAAATTATATAACCTCATTCAAAACACACCTTATGAGTTTGCAGTTGGCACTGAAGAACTAAAAACTATTAAAGCACTTCAATTGCTTTCGCCACTGCTTCAAACTAAAAACATCATTCGCATACTAGCAAAATTACTAACAAACTCCGGCATAATACACGACATCTTCCCCCACGGTTTTTTCCCCGACGACTAACAGGTAAGTATAATTTATACATATTTTTCACTAATAAATTTGAAATAAATACTAACCATTCTTTACTCATGTTTCATTTAGATCTTTAGTCTTCATACCAGGATCATCTGAAGAAACAAAAAAGCAAAATAAAAAATAAACTTATTAAAATTCTTCACTTCACTAATGTTTTCCACAAGATAAACTATAAATTTATACCAAATGTAGTAAATTGATTTATAAACTGTTTCCCCAAAAGCAGTAAATTTCATAAAAAATGAAAATTTGTAATTTAATTTTTCCCCAAAACAAGCAGTAAAATTAAAATTCTATGTAGTAAATTGATAAAATGAAAATGCAGTACTAACCTTTTGATATTTTTATTCACTCGCACAAGAATTCTATCCAAACTCGCACAGCTCGCCCACGAAGAATTGTTTAAATAATGAATTTCAGTTTCAAGCTTTCACACTCAACAACTCTAACACGCGATAACAAGTTTCAAACTTTCCTTTAACCCGGTTGGAAAGGAATTATATACTAAACAAAACTAACCAACGCAGCTTACTAAACACCACAAATCATAGAATAACAGCATGACTAAGAAAAGAAAACCAACGGTACCCAAACCGGATTAGCCCAGTTTAAAACTGGATAATCTATTCTTTTGAAGACTATTATAAAGTCTAAGAAAGAAATAATAAAACACAAAAAAGTCGAAAGACAAACCCATACCAAAAACAATTTGATTTTTGAAAAAAGGACACAACCAACGAAACATAAGAAAAACCACCATAATCCCAACATAAAATGTTATCACATAACAGGACCTCTCACAGAAACCGCACGAAATCATACTCCCACTCCTGGCCTAACCCACCAGAGAGGACGTCCTGAGCATGCTCTATAGCCGGCCTAACCCACCGCGCTACATCCACGCTTTGTGACCACACTTCTATTTTTAATAAGAGGTACTAAAGGGTGAGTAACTCTTCAAAATAACCGAACTAAAACAAAATGCTTTTGTGAAAACAACTAACCAAAATCATAATTAAAAACTGAACTAATAAAAATTTTATAAAATGTAAACTATACCTTGCAGTATATAGATCAGCACACAACAACAAAGACGAACATCCAAAGACAAAATGACCCCACTACACTTAAAAAAGAATGGCCAACCACAAACCGATATGCCGTCCACAATCACAAACTCAAAGGATTTAGAGTACGACTTGACTTCGCAGAAAAGGACTTCATTGAACTAGACCAATGACCACCTCGATGCTCAAGTATACGTACAGATCCGAGTTACAAGGCATTCCCTCCACGCCATTCCCAGACGAGGTCGAACACAAAAGAAATTCTCTACATAAAACAGAAAAACCCGTCATAGCAAACCATTCTGAAATCAGATTGATTTCATTGGGAAACACCATCGTTGTCATAAGAAGACACAACGATTGATGCCCCTCACTCCAGCGTCCTGGAACTTCTCTTACAAGAGAAACCGGACAAGAGTACGATGTTCGCCAAATACCAACGTCCATCATCCATCCTTTAAATTGCAGAAAGATAATTCTAAAAAACTCTGTAAAACCCGGATGGGTGGAACCTGATCTAAACTATATTTTATGATTGGATAAATTAGATATTTTACCACTGTAAAGTATTTAATATTAACCAATCATGATCCATCTAACTAACAACCCACTTATTTGTAAGTGCTGAAATTACTTGTAATTTCAGCACCAGAGAGATTTGAATTAAACTTAGAAATTAGTTGCCTCTCCAAGAGAACTTCAGCAGCCGCAATAAACCAGTATACCCTAGATCTATTGAGCCTAGCAGAGACTAGTTAAACACCCTGAGACTAGATAGTATAAGAGTAAGATTAGGATCGGTATTAGACTAAGATGTTGCACGAATCTATCCGGCCGAAAATAAGATAGCGTGACGAGCAGACGGTGTTCCCTATCCGAAATTACTCTATGAGTTAACCACATCGGTCCTAACTCAATAAATTTTAATGAGTTTTCCCCTTTTCTGGGAGGGGAGGGGTAGTAAAGAGATTGAAGAGGCATATTAATTACAAACTGTCAAACAAATGTTTTGTTCAACTAATCCTTATCAATTACAAAGTTCACAGAAGTTGAGTTAAAGCCCGATGATTTTAATCAGAGTGAATCAATTATGTCATCCAACGTGGCGTGTTTTAGGGGACTTAAAACTCCAGGCTGTTCACAGATGAATGGAAAAGCACAGAACGGTAAGCACCCCTACATTCAGGCGCGGATCTAGGAATTTCTCGACAGGGGCGGGGGGGGGGGGGTTGCGGATTTTCAAATAAAAAAATTGAAAATTTTGTCGATTTTTTTTCTTAAGGTCGACCAAATTGATTTTCTGAGCTCTCCCAAAGCACTAAACCCCCCCCCCCCCTCCCCCCCACCTCAAACGAGCTTCATTATATTAGCGTAACGAGTGGTTTTACGAGGTTGAGTATGAAGACCAAATATGTTTGTCGTGGCCTTATTAGTATGTATGTAAAGTTTCATAACAATCGGACAATGTGGTCAACAAATTTACATGTAAAAATTTGCAGGTGGGGGGCAAAAAGAAAAAGAGCCAAAAAACAGGTCAAAAAAGGGGTTTTTAGGCGTTTTTTAGAAAACTTCGAAAAAATTTGACCAAAAAATTGCGTTTTTTCGGCGCACGCTCCCCCCTTAAAATTAGTATAGATTGGCGCCAAGGGCGCCCTTAGAACAATTTTAAGGTCAGTCAGCCAAAACTGGATATCTCAAAATAGTACAGAGGGGGGCCCTTTGGGTCGGCAGGTGGTCGAATCCCTGAGGGGGGGGGGTGGGAGGAGTGTATAAACTCTTGTTTTAAGCTTGTTCTAAGAGATCCGTTGTTTTAAGCTGAAGGTTCTGTTTCATCCAACATTTTCAGGCAAACCAAACCGAGCGGTGTCAAACCCACAAGTGTCTCCTGCGCTACTGGTTATTGCTGTATGTGGTATCTATGGGATATCAATAATGAACCATGATTTCGCAGATATGGGCATCTCGAAAGTTTGAGAAGAAGGAAGGAATGGACGATCAGAGTTGATGAAATTTTGGATATCAATTTTTTATGCATAAATAAATATTTTGATGATAGAGCGAAAATTGTGTTAAAATCAAAATGCACCTAATTGAATTATTTTCAAAAAATTCAAGTTTGAAACGATTCAAGTTTGATTTGTGAACCATTTTTTTTTCAACCCTTCATGAAATTAAAAATGAAACTGATTTTTACAACAAAAAATTTCATTCGTTGACATTTTACACAAATTGATTAAGTCTGCGTTGCTTGAACTATTACTCGTCTGTCCGAGATAAATAGTTTTTTCACGGACTTTTGTCAATTGATTTTTGTTTCTTGCTCAAAATATTGCTTGGAAAAATAAACATATCAATTTGAAAAAAGGGAAAATTAAAAAGAGAAAAAATCTTTGGTTCTAACCTGTCACTGGAATCGGCACATATTTCACATGTTGCGGGAAACTCTCAACCTCATTGCATGGTCGCGGTCCCTCCTTGCCCGCGCTGTCAACGAACGCCACGCTCGACTTCTTACTACTGACGCCGTTCGTGTTTTCCGAGTTACCGTTATAATTTCCCGACTTGCGCACGACTGTGGAGTTGGAACTCAGTTGAACTTGTCTCGGTTTGTTGTTGTCGGCGGCGGTGTAGTTCGTGGTTGCAAACACAGTGCTGTTTTGTCGCGTAAATTGGCTTTTGTTGGCTATGTTGATTTGCGGTAAAATGGTGCGGTCTGAGTTCAGTTTGGGTTTATCGTCAATGAAGTCCACAATGGTTGATGTTTTCTAAAAGCAAAAAAGCTCTTGTGAGTTTGACATCTCGCTTACATATTAGCCTACTGTTTTATTAAAATAGGTTTTATAAAGATGTATTGGATCGGGTTTTTTTGTTTTTAGTTTTTTTTTGAAAACTTTTGGAAAAAATTTTCCTCTTTTTTCAAAACACTTAGTTTTTCGCAAAAAAACTCTACCGATTTTCAAAACAGTGGTACCAATGGAAACAGCGGCCATTGCTCATTGTGATCAAAAAAATTTTAAGGTCTCTTTTTACTATGCCTTACTATCTACAGCCTTCCAAAAACTATGTAGGGGAATATTTTCAGCAAATTTTTGGAGTTTTTTCTTTTTCTCAAAAACTACCCTCCCAAATCGGAGGGTTGTTGAACGCTCCCCTGCATAAACAACTAAACTCAGATTTATTCATACAAAAAGTTATCGCTCTCGGAAAAGTCAAAGTTTCGATCTTTTGACAGGTTCTTGAAACTTTTTGACTTTTCTCAAATACTACCCTCCCAAATCTGAGTTTTTGATTTCAGTCAAAAGCGCAGGGCATGGAAAGCTCCCGCGCATGAGAGGCTACGTCCATTGTGTTTCACATGATTTTTATATTGTTTTTTAAAAAAATTTTCAAGTCTCAAACAATACGTTCTATAGAAGAAATTTTGTGGTCAGAAAAAAGTTTGAGAAACGTTTTTCTCTATAAGCTGCTACGTCCATAATTTTTCTACAAGAAAACTTATGGCCTTCAGAAAAATCAATGTTTTGATTTACTGTCCATTTTTTGATTTTTATAATATATTTTATAATATAATATAATATACCCAGCCGAGTTTGATATCAAGGGTTTAATCGAGGCAAAAGGTTGTGGGAAGCCTCCTGCAAAAGCGGCTACGCCTCAAAGTTTGTGGGAAACGTTTCAAATTGTCAAAACAAATTTGCTTTTACTTATTAGAGAAACAACTAAGGTTTTGATTGAAATCCAATTTTCAATTTCTTAAAATTAACCATTTAATCCCGAATCAGTACAACAAACTGAAAAAAAAAACATCAAACAGGTACCTCCAGATTCAGCTTTTTTCTAGCTTTTTTGCCCATAGTTTTTTCTTTGGGTAATTTTGATACCCTTATTCGATTTTCAAAATAAGCTTAAAGGTTTTTTCGTTCGATATTGGAACTCCGGTGAACAAAAGTAAGAAATAGTAAGCTTCCTAGGAACTGCTCTTTGGAGATCGCTCAGTATCAGTTTTACCTTTATTATACCCAGTTAGAAGGGAGCCTACTTCGATTTGAATTGACCCGATGTCGAATTACTTACTGGTCTCGCAGATAGAAGAACTCTCTTTGTCTCCATAGTTAAGGAGATAGCTTTACAAACGAAAAAAGAAGCTTTTAACAAAATTTATTTGGCTTACAAAGATGAACAAAAAATAAAGTAGAAAAATCAATATGAGCATAGTATCAAATGGATTTTTGATGATATAAAACTGCTCCACTTAATCATATCGAAATTTTTTTCCTTTGAATGTTCAGAATACCATCAAAGCAGTTTCTTGAATAATTTAGCTCAAGATAAATTATTCCTTGATACTTTCCTTCATTTGATAACAGCGGAATTAAGATTTAAAAGATATTGAAAAACTGATATTTAAAAATAGGTCAAAGTATGAGGTTGAAACACTTGCCTACACAGATGTTGATTAAAACTTTATGCACTTTTATAAGCATAATCTGGCATTCTATTTTTGTCTGAAGTTGTCAAATAAGGTAAAGATAGTTCATGAGATTGAATAATTGATAAAACACCAAAGAAAATTCAAAATCGAGAAGCAAAATTTTGAAAAAGGAATTTACTTATAATGGCAAATCTGATTTATTCAAGATGCTTTTTTTTCTGTTTTTGCCCAAGCTCTATTATCGCGTTCGGTTTTGAAAAGAAATTGTCAATTGGGAAAGTTGAATATTGATTTGTGGCAAAAAATAAAAAAAATGCGCATAATAAATCTCCAGTAAAATTTTTTTTAAAATATTTTATATATAACAACAAACCGAGCTGCCGTCCGAGTAACAGAAATAGTTTCAATTGCAGTATCACTGGATTGCATTATTTATTTATTTTTTTTCCATAAATCATTCGCGTAATTTTTGAATTGTCAGAAAAAGTTGAACTCGGCTCCCAGAATTAGAAAACTCTACTCAATTAAGCCAGCCCAAAACATGATCCAAATCAGATATCAACTCCGTGTTAAATGTCTTCTTCATCCTCTCCCCTGTGTAAGAAAATTTTCTTTTGAAATATTTTTTTGAAATCTACTGAAAATTAATTTTAAATACACTGCTGACGACTACATACAAACGAGGTTAAACAAAGCGGTTTCAAACAAAACGGTTAAATCTGAAATAGTTTATTTCTTTTTCTTAATCGGCTATTCTATTTTTGCGGAAATGAAGTGATTCAATCTTTAAAAGCAGGTACAAGTCTGAAGCTTCATTTAATATAGCTCGCTCCCAAATCTGATAAACTCTAGGATAAAAGTCATGAAAAAATTTTACCTAATTAATTTAAAACCTTAAATTATCAAGCAGTTCAGTAATTTAGAGCCGTAGAAGATATTCAACTTTAACAATATGAGAAAAAGAAACGTTCCAGACTACAATCTGTTTTCTTTTAAAAAAAAACTTCTTTATCTGAAAGTTTTCTTTCCGAAATTAATTTCTGAAAGAATCTAACTACAATCATTGTGAATTAAGCCGTCTTTCACCATTCAAGACGTTAGGTGGCATCTTGATACCTCAATTTAAGCTACTGCATAAGTTCTACAGGCCAGATCAGGATGTGGTCACGAATGTGCCCACTGTCTCTCAACTTTTCTTGTACTTTTAACAAAGTTATAAACATATGTTTTTTCTACACCTGATATCAAATGAAACAAATTTTTGAAAAAGGATTAATTTGAGTCTATACCTGCGTCGATTTTGCTTTATTACAATTGATTGAAAACAAATAATTTATCAAAAAACGGCCTGTGAAAAATATCTTAAGAGATGAGCTGAAGTGGTTGATATCGTGAATTTGTTACAAAGATTGCAGCTAAAAAACTGCTATGTCGATACAGCCAAAACCTGTTGACGCATAAATTTAAATTCTTTTGCTTTTTTCAAAGTCGATTCTGTAGTTGGTAGCGCAACTTCGGGTCATGGAGGCGTGTCACAATGTCCAAGTACCCAGTTTGTCGTAAAATCGTTCTCAGTTTGTCAAAAAAAATTTTGCAGTCTGTCGAAAAAAAAAATAGTTTTTTTTCCCCGGTTTACCAGAAGAAAAATCTTTTCAATTTGCTGAAATCAATTTGTCCCCGTTTTGCAGAAAAAAATCTATTTTTCTGAAATTTTAGATAGTTTTGCTCTGTTAAAGTTTAACTCCAGTAACTTCATTATCCAGTGCAATTACCGAGGGCTTCTCGGATCCATTGTTAGTTAAATGTTTCAAAAAATGCGGCTTCTCAAAAGAGACATAGGGGATTTTCTCACGTTTATATTGATTTAATAAAATGGTTTGTGGTTTTTTTCATGTTCTGTGTAATGGTTTTTGTGATGGTTTTTGATAGTTTGTGTGCTTAAAAGCCAGTGAGAATTGGTACACAATTCTCGATTTGTATTCAAAAATCAAATTGGTTATAAGAGACAAATTTGTACGATGAAACCAAAATTTCTCACCTGTTGAATATGGGGTTCATTTTGCAGAATTGTTCTCTGTCTGACAATCATAGTGTTCTGTTTCAATCCCACCAGGCATCTATTTTGCGCTCAAAAAAGTTGAATACAGTCGCAAGGTTGATTAATAATGCAAACATAGCCATCTGTTTCTACAGTAATAAAAATGGCTCCAAGTCCTGCCCGCACTTTGATGTTTCCACAACTTGATGAGATGCGGTTAAACTTTTTCCTTCAAAATCTGTTCGTTCAGAAATTTGTTCAAATTCTTGCTTTGTAGTTTAAATTGCTTCTGGAATCCGTATGGCGAAATTGAAGTTTTTTCCATTTCCGCACGTTTTTTAAATTATTTAATCATGCTTTATTAATATGCAGCGCAGGTTTGTGTGTTTTGTTTAACTGAAATAAAACTATTATTATTTTTTTGAAATTGAAAGAATGGAGAGCTACCACAATGGTAATGGGGGGAGTAAGTATGGTAAATATGAAGCGTGATCGAATTATTATACGAAATAATTTGAACGGCAGATGCATTTAGGTATTTAAGAAACACCAGGTGAAAAATACCCACTCAGCCATGAACAAAGTCACTTTTGTTCACCGCCAGGCCCAGACTTCCTACCGACTCAAAACGCATAATTACCAACAAACCTAACACAAATAGATTAATTCTCAAAAACTCAAAAAAATTACAATAACAAGGTCATAATCAAAATATGAACATTTTTCAAAATCGTCATGTTCGTAAGTTCTTATTGTAAGCACAGGTAATTTGTTTTATAGAATTTGCTCTTAAAATGCGATTTCTGATAATTGAAAGGTTACTCATTTGTTTTTTGCTTGCCTGGTCGATCGCTTTTGAACATAAGAGGCAAAAAAGAGAGATTAAGGAGCTTAAAGCAGTCGCGTGGTAAGCTCAAAGCAATTGTCCATCTTATCAAAAAAAACTCGCTCAATCATTCTTAATGACTACAAATTAACCACGCTCTGGCTTCATTTTGGCCTAAATCTCATTTTGACAAAGCATTAAGCATGCTTTAAATATTTTTGTAAGTCCGATAACACAGTGTTTTTCTGCGCAAAATGAATTATGGATTTTCCAATCGCAGGTGGAGAACTAAACAATTTTGTATCAAAAAGGCGTGGCTAAATTTATCTATCGTTTAAATTTGCAAAATAAAACAAAATTTGTTTATACGTAATCATTTTCCTGCAAAATATATCTAAAAACGACATCCCAAAACGCAAAAAACGGACAATCACAATCAAAAACGACCGAATTTGGTCTGGCGTGGTTAAAGCTTAGTGAAAACATTCCAGAAAAGCCTATACTGATTCATCAATAGGTTTTTTTCAAAAACTTTACTTTTTCTTATAGTAGCTAGTAGCTTGCATTTGGTCTCTTAACTGACAATTAATTTTATGGATTTTTCTGACTCAAAGGGATGCCCGTATGACTTTGGCATCAGGGATCTCTACTTCAATGTATTTGTGAAACGTCTAGCAAATTTGAATTTGGTATTTTAACACTTTTGATAAGCTATGTTTCTTATCAAAGTTTCGGAGAAATTAATTTTTTTTGTAAAAATGGCTTCAGTCCAACCATAAAACCATTATTGTTTCCTGTGAAAAGTCTCCTAAAATAATACTTGACAAAAACCACAAATGGATTCATTAAAAACTTTTTAAAAGTAATCAAAAGAGTTGACGCACACACGTGATCTGGCCACGAGCAAAATTGAATGCTTTTTATTTGTCAGAAAAACCCATCAAAATTAGGTGCAGCCGGAGAAAATTTACCCAAAGAAGGCAAGGATCCTTAAGTTTTAGCATAGAAAATCAAAAAATTGTAGAAAAATATAATCAGCATACAAAGGGAAAACTGTTGGTGACTGAAACAAACTAAAAAATTAAGTGAGTTTAACTTCAATCAAAGGAAATCATTCTTCAACTTAAAGCTTGTTTGCTTAATTTTTTTGTAATTACAGATAGTTTTTGACAAAAATCAATCTCATTTGACAAAAACTGGATTGAGAACTTTTTAATAGCACAGAAGCCCAAAATATATATAGTTTTTTGGTGTTACAGAATAGCATAGGAGGGTAAATTAATTCGCCCAAACCATTAAGTTGCATATTAAATTTTTTTTACAAATAATCATTTATCACAGCCGCTTAAAAAAGTGAAGCAATTAAATCAGCCACTCTGTTTTCTGCCTACACTTTAATTTTAATATTGGCTCAATTTAATACTGGTGCTAGGCATCATGCCCTAATACGATTGATCTTTCAGTGACCTTGAGGCAGTTTAACCCATTGGGTGCACACCGAATGCATAGCCTCGAACGAGTGGATCAAAGCTAGAGTTATAATTACAAATTTGGAACAAAATTCTGGAATATTTATGCTTGTGGTATTTTTCAGATCAATTTCAGCAATCGAAGGAAAAAAACGCTTCAGCAACAGCTGTTCATACATTTTTGGGGACATTATCTGGCGTCGAGTTCACTTTGAAAAACATTTCCGATGCAACCATTTTTAAAACATTTTTGGGGTTTGATTGAAAACAAATCAGTCCCAAGCAGTGCTGAACTCGAATTTTCAGACCTCAAAACTTCGAAAAAATTAACAAAAAACATTTACAGAAAAACATTGCCGCTGAAATATGATTTATGTTTGAGCCCAAAGAGTCAGTATTTAAAATGGGGTATAAAAATTGTTTGTTGAAAAGATGTTTTCTTCATAACCAAAGTTGGTCTGAGTAACAACAATCAACTCAAGACGGAAAAACAAGACCGCTCGAAATGTAAGTGCTCGTGTAGTAAAATGAAAACATGAACGTTCCGAATGCTTTTTGTTTGCAACGAAATATATAATTTTTTTCTTGCGATATCATTTCTTGAGATACTAATCTGATTTTTTTAAAAATCACCTCCCCTTACAGGCTAAATAAAGTACATAACGATATATTCAGCAAATATTAACGTGTTAATAAGAGCAAATCGCTTGCCTCATTTAAATTTGGATCATTTCTTGAGTCGGAAGAGATCGCTGCTTGCGCGTTAACGGAAGGAAACATTTCGAGTGTTAATTGTCCCAAATTGGCTGTATTTAAACTCGCAATTAAAAAATACTTCAATTGAATTTTTTGCCTTTGCCAAAAGCGAGTATCAATTTTTTCCTTAAAGTAATTTGTTCACAAGTTTTTGCATGTGAAAACTTTACACGTGTTTCAAGCTGCTTCATTATAAATTTAATTTCATCCCGTATTTAATAGAGGAAAAACATACGTGCTTGAGACGATTCAGGCTTGCGAAAACCCTGGGACTCAATTTTTGGTGTACGCAACTTGTCCAACATTGAATTCACTGCATTTTCGGTAACTAACAGACGTATTTTGAGCATGTCGGATTTTCAAATGCCCGTTCTTTTCAATGTTTTTTTTTCACGTCTATTTTACCTTTGTTAAATCTGAGTTGAATTAAATTTGTTTGTTAGTTTTTTTCTTCGTCTATAAATTTTGCGGTTTATACCTAGTCAACTTAGGGGCCTCGGGTTGCGTCATTTAGTAGACACGTTTTTTGCTCATGTGAAGTTTTTTAGGGAATATTTAATTGTTTTTGAAGTAATTGAAGCACTTTAAGAAAAACAGTTTTTTAACAATCTTATTTTTTTCCTAAATTTATTTTTTTATTTCCTTTATTTTTGGTCATGTGAGTTTTTTAGGGGTATTCACTTGTTTTTGAAATTTTTGAAGTTTTTTTGCAAAAAAAAAAAAACATTTTTTTAGATTTTCTAAATAAATTTTTATATATTTTTGATTTTTTAAATTTATTTTTACCCGCGAGTTGAAAATTCGTTTGATTCGTTGTTGGTCATCGTAATTCCCTGTACAACACCACTTTAAACACTTATCATTTGATTTTGGCAGTCTAAGGCTAATTTGGTTCTATTGAGACAAGTTTAGACAAAGATGTTAAAATTTTGGTAGATCTAGTTTTTTTTGAGGTTTTCAATTGATTTTTCGACTTTAAGACTTTCGTTTCAATTTCTGTCTAATAGCCTGTCGTGCTATGTTTTTGTTGGTTGTATTGCAAGTTTTGCTAAATTTTGCTTAGCCTCTGTGTTAAATTTGAGCTCACGGCCTCAATATTTTTGTTTGAAACGTAGGAAACTTGTTCAACAATGACTAGTTAAAAATTCGATCTGTTGACTAGGCAAAACAATCTCCACGTGCACAAATAAATCGTTACTTTCTTTGAAATTTGGAACAAAGAGGCAATATTGGCCATCAGGGGCGGATTTAGGGGGGGACGCCTTCCCCTTCAGGGATTCTCGACCCCTTGCAGACCCCCTTTGCACTATTTTGATTCATTCATTTTTGGTGACAGGCCCTAAAATTTTTCTAAAGGCGCCCTAGGCGCCAATATATACTAATTTTGAGGGGGGGGGGGGGGGGGGGGGAGCGCGCTCCGAAAAAAAAACGCAATATTTTGTCAAAATTTTCCAAAAAAATGCCTAAAAACGCCTTTTCGGCCTGTTTTTTTTTCAAAATTTTGCCAGCGGCGCAGAAATTTTGGAAAAAACAGGCTCTTTGTAGTGTTTTGCGAAAGCTCGGAAAATCAATTTGGTCGACCTAAAAAAAAGTCGACATAATTTTCCATTTTTTTTGAAAATCCGCGCCCATCCCCCCTCGAGATAATATCCTAGATCCGCCCCTGTTCGCAATCGTAATTCCCTGTACAACACCACTTCAAACACTTGAGGCTAATTTAGAAATTTAAATTGTTCTCTGCCAAAAATTGTTCAACAGCCGTTAAAAGACAGTCGAACCATTCAAAAGTTTGCCCTGATATACGAGGGCAATCTTTTTTTCAAACGCTCCATTTGATCATTCGATAGAATTTTGTAAGAGAGGTGTTAATAATTTAATAATGTTATTACTGCTCCATAAACCTTAAAAGGCAGTCGGAACACTCAGGTCTTCGCCCTGATACGAGCAGTCTTGTTTTCTTTCTTTTTGCTTGTGTGAGTCTTTTAAGGGGGTATTCAGTTGTTTTCGAAGTTTTTGAAGTATTTTGCAAAAAAAATCAGTTTTTGGGATCAATTTTAATTTTCACTAAATTAAATTTTACATATTTTCTTATTTTTTTATTTTTATTTTTACCCGCAAGTTCAAAATTCATTTGATTCGTTGCTGGCCATCTTAACTCCCTTTAAAACGCCACTTTAAACACTTATCATTTGATTTTGGCAGTCTAAGGCTAATTTGGTTCTATTGAGACAAGGTGAGATAAAGATATTAAAACTTTGGTAGATCTAGCTTTTTTTGAGATTTTCAATTGGTTTTTCGACTTAGCGGCTTTCGTTTCAATTTCTGTCTGATAGCCTGTCGTGCTATGTTTTTGTTGGTTGTATTGCAAGTATAGCTAACTTTTGCTTAGCCTCCATGTTAATTTTGAG